TCGGGTGTCGGCAAACTCAGTCCTGGAGGGACCCCTGCTCAATATACATCTCAACATTGCCCTAAGGCAAGAATGTTTTTTTTTTATCAATAGTTTTAGCACAACTGATAAAAATAAAAAATATTTAAGTGTAAGATTACAAAATAATGCACAACTAACCAAAGGGAGAAATAAGCACTTAGAATTTAACCCACCATGTGATTCAGAAAGAAAAGTGTGCCAAACTGCTTTTTGCATTGGTTTCCATAGTGATTCAGTGTTTCAGCATTTTGTTTCTGCTGTCTTTTGTGTTAAAGGTGAACACAATCAGAGTTTACAGAACTTAATCTCAGGACATCACTGTCATGCTTTTAGTAAACTATTTTAGGTTTAATCAATCCAGAGTTCAGGATTAGTGTGAAAGTGTAAGCTTCTGTAAGTTCAGTTTGCTTTCTGGGTTGAAAAATGTCTGATATTGTTCAAATTTGGACAAGGAAATTCTACAGCAGACAAAAATAGTCTTATGACAAGAGTTTAATATCTTTATTACATAGTTCCGGATCAAAAACACACAAGGATGTAACAATACAATATAAAATGCTGGAAAAATAAAATACACAATAAGCACCAATAATATCTATATTAGAATTGTGCTAAAGTGGGTCTTTCAGGAGTGCAAGTTTCACACATTTATTGTGCTTGCTTTTGCCTCAACTTTCTGGCTTCAATAAATATGTGCTCTAAATTCAAAATCATTAATTTTAGCAAGGTCTCATTCGTGTAACATGCCAATTTGGTGTCCAAATGATCATGGTTAATGTGATTGATTGATAGAAATCCATTACAATAAACAATCTTTCATGTGTACACCTATAATTTCAATTACGTTCACAAAAAGAGTTTATAAGAGCGCTCAATTAGATATTTTCAGTGATCAAGTGCAGTTGTACAATCAAAAATCACCACTATGCTACATAATTTGGTGTACAGCCAGTAAAATGTTAGACAGTTGGGTTAGGGATAGAATGGCTCTACTGGACATTATTAAACAACATCCTGGTTCAAGTTTGCATTTATTACTTTGAGCATCTGTAACACAGTATGTTATGTTGGTGTGCATTACGCATTCAACTTTAGCTGGTACACTGTGCATTAGTGCAAGAATCATTCTTGACAAAAGGGGTTTTAAAAGGTCTGTGATATTTGGTGTAACCAGTTTTATATAGATCACAATCATATAGTCATATTTGCATAACACATCCAACAGTTACTTCTATCTATTCTAAGTGTCTCATCATCATAGTAACAGGGTACTTGTGCATTAAAAAGAAAGCACATGCCTTTCACTGGGGTACGTCTTACAACAATAGTGTAACAATGTGCTTACATAGGATATTCAGGCTAAATATATGTCTACATGGAGTGCTTAACACAAGAAGTATCTTCCACCTATCAGAGGACATATTGAGAATAACAAGTTAATATGCTTTTTCTCAAAAACTACAGTTGTGAGACTCTGATGGCAAAGAAACACTGTAAGAGTTTTTTAACTTCATCCACAGAAACGATACAAACCATACAACGGAAACTACACGATAACAATAGCACAAAATGTCAGGGAATAGAAGTTTGTTCGTATGCGCTCGAGTAACAACCAGAGCCCATTAGAGAGCTTAACATTGTTAGGTTATATCACTACAAACACTACTGACAACAATTAATAAACCGGATTGTTGTTCCCAACACTGTTAACATCTGAAATGTAATGTATGATCAAATCAAGCCACATGAAGCCACTCAAATAAGCATAACTGATGAACTCTGGTCAGTATAATTTGCTCTTGCTGCCTGAGATATGTAGTGCTTCTGTACTGCCAATAATCTTAAATATTCAAATAGACATTACCTATTCACCACTCTTAAATGACATCTTAACATCTCAGAGACACACTATTTACGCTATGACTTCAACCACACTGCTCTATAAGGTTTAACGGAAGTAGTGAAAGATGGCCTTTAGGAAGGAAAGATTTAAAGCCCCCTAATATTAGAGTAACTTAATAATTAGCATTTGACAGTGTGTTTCATCTTTGTAGTACAGATAGAAACACACACTATATTTGCTGCATTTAAAGGGATGGTTCACCTAAAAATGAAAAGCTGCTGTTTGTTTACTCACTCATAGTCCATCTGAGATTTCATGAACTTTTCCTTTTGCTTCTGAAAAACATTAAATATTTTAAGCCAAAACCGTGGTAATTTAAAAATGCAGGACAAAGGTTAACGGTGTGGAGTCAATCTAGGGCCATATGTACTTGCAAAATAAAATAAAAGTTTTGCACACACACACACAAAAAGTATTGAGCAAAAAAGAAGTAAATGCAAAAAAAATAAAATAAAAAATGCAATTAAAAAAATTATTTTGATAATAAAAATAAAGGACTCCAAAGGGAAAATTAAGTTTTGAGAAATAAAAAGAACAGAAAAAATTGTAATAATAATAATAATAATAATAATAAATAAAAAAACTAAAACGTGTCTAGTCAATTGCAATGGTCATTTTGATTAGTTTTTTAGTCAGCGGTAAGTTTGTTTTCACTTTGTGGTCCTGATTTGTCAAGGGGGCGGAGTCAAAGAAACTACGGTGTTTACGGCAGGCCTGGACTTGCCTTCATTTAAACAACATCATCACCTGGAGACACAGTATCACTGAGGTGGGTCTTACAGCCCAGTAGGTGCAGTAGTTGCAATTGACTAGACGGGTTTTTGTAAAACAGGGGTGTCAAACTCAATTCCTGGAGGGCCGAAGCCCTGCACAGTTTAGTTCCAACCCTGCTCCAACACATTTACCTGTAGGTTTCAAACAAGCCTGAAGGACTTAATTAGTTTGATCAGGTGTGTTTAATTAGGATTGGAACTAAACTTTGCAGAGCTGCGGCCCTTTTGGAACTGAGTTTGACACCTGTGTTGTAAAAGAAATGCTATACATTTTTTTGCATATATATATATATATATATATATATATATATATATATATATATATATATTATTTTTTTTTTGCAAATATTTTAGTTTTTTTTGCACTGCTTGATTAAAAATGTTTTTACAATATTTATTCCTCAAAACTTAATTTTACCTTTGCAGTTCTTCATTTTTTGTAAGCAAAATACATTTTAATTTCTCAAAAATGTCCAATTTAATTTCTCAATTTTTTGAATCGTGATTTTTGGATATTTGCATTTAATTATTTTTTGCTCAATACTTTGTTTTTTGTTTGTAAAACTTTCGGTAACACTTTATAATAACTACACACTATGAATCATTTATGAAGCATTAACAGCATGAGTGAATTCATTATTTGTTAAGCATTAACTCTACATTAACAAACATTAGTAAGCAGTTTATAACTGCAGGCACTAATGCTCTATTCATGATTTATGACCACACTTATAATGTGCTTAATGTTTGTTGTCATAATTTGTGGCTGGTGGATTACTAAATTATCACACTATTTACAAACCACTTGTATTTAAGAGTAGTTGGAGGTTATTAAGATCATTCAGAATGAGTTAGTAAATGATTAATAAACTATTCAAATCAAAGTTTATACATCTTATTATTCAGGCACATAGTAATGGTTACAAAAAATGTTAATCAACGCTTTATTAACTTCATCCAGTTTTGTGATATAATCTAACATGAGGACTATTTATGCTTTATAAATCCCTGATAAATGACAATTAAAGGCTCAGTATCAAATGAACGATGATCTTATCTAAAAAGTAAAATGACTGTAAAGTTTAAACAATTGCTGAATAGCAGGAGTGTCAAAATGGAACAAAATTTGTTAAAACAACAATATAATAGGATACAATGTCTAAACAGTACAGTGATTTTATTTTAGATCGGGTTGCACAGATTTACTTTTCATTTGATGCAGTTTCATTAGTGTATCTTCAAATGAATAGAAATTAATAGTCGTTTATGTCCTTTTTTTACTGTTTATAATTTAACTGGGCCTTTAATTGTCATTTATGAGGAATTTATAGGAGCATAAATAGTCCTCACCTTAGATTAGGTCACAAAACTGCATGAAGTTGAGTTAATGAAGCATTTATGAACAAAAAAATTAACTATTACTATATGCCTGATTAATAAGATATATGAATGTTGACATCAATAGTTTATTAATCATTTACTAATTCATTCTGAATTAAAAAAACACCAACTTTGCTTAAATAACTGGTTTGTAAATAATGAAAAATAAATCATTAACAAATAATGAAAGTACAATCATTAAGCACATTATAAATGTGGTTGTAAGTCAAGAGCATTTATAGCTGCAGTTATAAACTGCTTAATAACGTTTATTAATGTAGAGTTAATGCTTAATAATGAATTTACTATTTGCTCATGCTTAGCAAATGATTCATAGTGTGTAGTTATTATAAAGTGTTTCCAAACTTTCTTTTATTTTGCAAGTATATATTGCCCTAGATTGACTCCATATAAAGGCACTGTCAGAGTTTTAGTGATCAGTTTTTTTGCATAGATTGAGAATTCGTAAGACTTAATGCATCATCAGAAGGAAGCATGGGCATTAATTTTGTGTTGCCTAAATGTGTTTGACACTCAAAAGTGCTGATAACCTTTAAAGGGACAGTTCACCAGCAAAAATCCATTATTTACTCACCCTTGACTTTTTTTTGGTTCTGTTGAACACAAATTATGATATTGTGAAAAAATTAAACACATGTAACTATTGACATCAATAATAGGAAAAACATATACTACAGAAGTCAATGGTGACAGATTTCCAACATATCTTCTTTTGAATTCAGCAGAAAAAAACTCAAACTGGTTTAGAAGAAGTCAAGTAAAAGAGTAGATGATGGCAGAATTGTCATTTTTTGAGTGAACTCTCCGTTTAACTTGAATTTTATCACCAAGGACCATGGTTTTAGCTTGAAAAAATCCAGTTCCTTGATGGTCTGAGTAAACTAACAGCAAATATTAATTTCTGGATGATCTACCCTTTTAATAGGCACATAATGGAGCACGAAAGGTGGAAACACTCATGTCAGAATACACCTGATTTCTGTAACTGTATTCACTGTAGGAGTAGAGTTGGAAACAATCTGGAAAGTTCTAAACAACACTAGTGAATCTAATGGATAAAACAATATACATATGATAGTCTAAACTGAATCAAAGTAATGAATATACTGATAAATGAGTCTATATGCGAGTGCTGTTAACACAAGATTAGGGTGAGAAGCATCAATGCAGCAGATAACATTCAAGCATCTTTAACTAAATTCAGCAGCAGGTTCTAGCCTTCACTGTACATATAACCCTTTAGGATGGTACGATAACATGGGTAAAACTGACAAAACTCGGAGCAGAAAAACAAAAATAAATATGTTCTATCCTTCAAGTCGTGCCCACTAATCTCCAGTGCAATGGAGGACATCAGCATGGGCTTCAGCCTAGAGCTTTCTACAGACCCTTGTTGAAAAAAACAGTGCTGATGTGAGGATTGCTTTGTCGTATGCTCTCTTGAAGCTCCGGCTCCAGACTGCTCACCTTCATAGAACTTCATAGAGACAGAAAGAAGAGGCAATTCAGCATGACGAGAATCAAACTATGGGAATAATTCATTTCTGTTAGTAGCACTCACCTCTTCTGTGGGAACAGAGCACAGCACAGCGGAGTGGCAAACACCAGACTGTGGAGATTTAAAATAAGTCAATCATGCGCTGTTTTAAACAGAACAGAGAGTGAACAAACACTGCCTTAAACTCACCAGAATCCAACAAGTCCAACTTGTAAAGGGGCATTCAGAACTGGGAACCGCTGAGATGTGGACAGAAACGCTGCAGTTTAAAAACGCATCCACAATGCAGATTAGATTAGAGATTCAGATTATGTTCTGAGATGACTTACTTTCAGGAAGGCTTTCTTCTCTAAGGCATTCATGATAACGGGGGGAATAGCTGTTTGAGAAAAAAAAATAATAAAAAGAGGTGAATTCATAATTTCATATTTACAATAACAGTTTATGGGAGAAGTTGCTAGGGTGCTCAAAATGGTTGCTAGAGTGACTTGACAGCTGTTAATGATGATATGAAAGGCTGTTTGACAATATAAAATATATAAAGCAACTAGAGCTGCACAATTAATTGTAAAAAGATCGCAATCTCGATTTGACCCACTAGACAATCTTAATCCAGCATTTCTACAATTCTGCCAATCATATTTTCAAGTTCAGGGGAGAAGCAAAGGCAGCTGCACGACTCTTTTCATTGTTTCACATACATTGCTCTGTGACATGGACACCTCAATTGATGTTGAAAGAGTCACAAACTGTATTTATAAGGTGTAATTCACCTAAAAATGTCATTTTTGTCTTCATATAATGCTGTATTTGTGGCCGGGAAATCACACACTGTAGTGTGGGCGCGCGCCCTACTTAATGATAGACAAGCGTGCGTCTCCTTTAGTGAACAGAACCTGCTGAGAGTAACAGATAATAAAGTTGTAAACAATATTGAGTTTGTGGCACAGAGTGATCGTTTGGGTGTCGCGCGTGAAGTATGAACAGAACTTAGTAGTGAAAATGAAACTGAAAGCGTGCACATCATTTAAATAATCATATCGCATTTTAGAGTTATGACTGAGACAAACATTTGATGTTTTTTTCTTTCACAGCGAACACAGAGTTGTGCATGAAAATAAATATTTACAGTGTCAGTATAACTACTCTAGCCTATATAATGTTGATTTTACCAGTGAATTAAGTGGTCTAATAATGTTGTCAATGGTTGCAAGCATATATCTCAAACATAATTCAACATCAGAATTATTATAAGTAGAATATAATTATTTATAAAAACCAGTAGACCTACACATAATTTTATTATTGTTGTTTTAACATATGTTCGAAAAAAATCGTAATAATTGCTGACTTATATAAACCTTTATTTTACATCTACAGAATAGTGAGAGAACCGTGATCTGTATAAACGGAAGCCTAGGAGGATACTCCTAAAGAGATTGTGATGTTGTTTGATGCCTAATAAGCTTTTAATTGTTTAAATGAAACTGAACTGAATGATATTTAAGTGATGTTTACACCATATCTGCAATTCTAAATTGCAGCAACAGCTGGAGGTTTATAGACCACAGCATGTTGTTTATAGTGCTGATCCTATACTTTCGGGTTTCTTTCCACCGGGGCATCGCTTTCATGTTTTAAAAATGGCAGCCGCGTGAAATAAGCGTATGGACTTAAATGGGACATCCCATCCCCATTCTAAGTCAATGGGGTGACTTTGGGGCACAAGAGGGGTGCATCTTTTACCATGAGCAGTAATTTAAACATTTAGTAACAGAATAAAAGGTTCCCTGTCACAATTAAGCATTTTACATTAAAAATGGATTCAGTTTAATCAAAGTTTTTCCAGTTTAAGGAAATTGAATGGAAAATGCTGAAATATATACTGCAATTCTGGAATAGGTAATAGCTCACTAAAGCTTACCCATGGCTGGCACTGCCATGCCAATTCGAGACACCACCACCTGTACGATGGCTTGCTGAGCAGCATTAGTTGATTCTCCGAGACGTTTTCCCTCAGCATCAGTAACAGGAATTCCACACTTCAGCTCTCTGTTGTGATTTTGAGAATTATGTATTAAAAGTTTGATTCAACATTTAAAGCCCAATAACTCATGTTCCATTTCATGTACACGTAACATTAAAGCTGGTCTTTTTCTCTTACCTTTGTCTCATGAAGGGGATGTTAATACAGTTTGCTGCTGCCACTGCAGCAAATGGAACAAAACGGCTGATAATAGCTGGCAAGTGCTGAGAAGAGATAAGACATTGAGTCACTACTGCTATAAACTTTCCAAACATTTTAAAAATAGCATTTAAGACAAAGGTATTGACACAGCTACTAAACCCACATGGTCAACGAATAAACCTAAGATATGTAAACCAATTTTAGCATAGGCTAATAAAGATACAAACATTTAACCTTCATCAGAAATTAAACTTTAACTTTCAGGTTGATGTTTTCTCTGAAAAAGGTTGAAACTTTTACTTGGCTTGGGTGCACTATACTGAGTGACAGTAAATATGCTTTACAAATATATTAAAAAATATTTTTTATTTCAAATATAGGGTATTTGCTGCCATTTTTTAATGTAGCAACTATTCAACTATCCCATTTTTTGATATCGATATAATGTTGAAAAATATGTTAAAAACAATCACCTCTCCATTAAACAGAAATTGAAAAAAAAAAAATAAACGGGGTTAATTATTCAAGGGGGCTAATAATTCTGACTTCAACTGTATATACCACGACAGTTTAATTCAATTAATTATCTATGGTATGCTTGCAAACACTAGTATTTTTCCTTGCAGGCTAACGCAATAGCTTATACCGTAGCTACTACTTCGACGACAGGAAGATTTATTTTAGCCCATTAGAAAAACAGCCCTTTTCAAGATACAAGGATCATGCCCAACATATGTGGTTATTTTCTAATAATATCTAATTTGAAATATGGTATAAATCGCAAAATAGGCACTTTCCTCTACGTCTCCCATTCAGTTTTTTACTCCCCGCCCTCCATCTGAATTTTGCGCGTCACCAGAACTTTGTGATTGCAAACAACCTATTAGGAAAAGATCCTATTCAATGAAGACTAGTAATGTGCATCGCTAAACACTTCATCTGGACAATGATAAAAGTGATTTTAGATTTTACATAATCGAGATTTGTAATTAGTCGCAACTCGGCTAAATATTGTCTCAACAAACCATACATCTATGAAAATTTAATTAATTCAGCTTTTAGATAATTTATAAATCTCAATTTCCAGAAAAAAATATGACTGGTTTTGAGGTCCAGAGTTACATATGAAAGGAATTAAGATCCAAAATATTTTAGAAACTATTTAAAAGCCGTCCTTAAAGCATTCATTAATTACAATCAATTATGTTTATATTTTAAACAGATTTTATATAGGTTTTATAGCTTATTTATTCTTATATAAATGTATAAAGGTTT